CACTGGGCCAGAAAACTGAAACTTAAGGGGGCATCCTTGGGTAGTGTAGACACTATATTTGTCAAATCATGGCCCTTGGGGATAGGGTGAGGCCACAATAAGGAAGTTTCACATAGAAAAATATAGGGAAACTTAAAAAAATTCTTTTTAAGAACCACTGAGCTAGATAATCTGTAACTTTTGTGGAAGCAGCCTGGGGATAGTGTAGATTATAAAAAGGTTAAATCATGACCCCTGGGAATTTGGAATAGAGATAAGGAAGTTTTACAAAGAAATATATAGGTAAACCTAGAAAAAAATATCAAGAACCTCTGTGCCAGGAAAGCTGAAACTTTTGTGGAAGCAGCCTGAGATTAAGTGTAAAAATTATGAATTGGGTGAATCACAACTCTTGGAAAATTGGCAAGGTCCAGTTAGGTATTACTAATTGGAAATCTCTTAAGTAAAAGAATGGCTAATGGTCAGGTAGGCGATGTGGCCCATGGTCCTCTTGTTTAAGGTGGAAGGTTTTATTTTGCAAGTCAAGTGAACACTTATCAGAGATGTACATTTTACGTGGATTTTAAAAAAATCATGAGAAAAATAGCAACTGTTGAAGTACATGTAGGTCATTATTATGGGAAATGTTTATATAAGGGCATATACTTGTGTGAGGCCACACCAATTCAATAGGCACTCAGCACTCAGGGTTATTAATAGGGTGGGGTCTTTTTCGTGACAGCACCCACTACTAAATGGGATCTTGGTTTATATGGTCTCATCCAAAACACAAGTCTCCATGTCCCTCAGTGGGATTTGAATCTGTGACGTAAGGATCAACTCCTTACTTTTTGACTCTAGAGCAGACTCTTTAACTACTGCACCATGTGGGCAACATATTTATATGGAAGCATCCTCAGGTAGAGTAGATTAAAATGTGTTCAAATTATGACCCCCCTTGAGTAGGGGAGGGCAACAAAGTTTATAGAAATCTCTTCTAAAGAACAGCAGAGCCATGATTGGTCATGCTTTATATGAAAGCATCCTCAGGTGGTCATGTTCAAGTTAGTTTAAATCATGACCCCTTGGGTTGGGGTAAGGCCACAATAGGGGATCAAAGTTTTAATATGGAAATATATAGGAAAATATTAAAAATCTTCCTCTTAAGAACAGCAAGGCTATGATTGGTCAGATTTGCATGGAAGCATCCCCTGGTGGTGAAGATTCAAGTTTTGTTAGCTCAAGAGAAGCGAAGGCTCAAGTGAGCTTTTCTGATAGACATATATATAGAAGCGTTTTTTTTAAATCTTCTTCTCAAGAATAAAAACTTTTGATCATATTCGATTATTCTGGAAGCATCCTTGGGCAATTGTAGATTCAAACTTGCAAATCATGACCCTTGGGGGTAGGGATTCAGGGTTCAAAAGGCCAACCAAATTTTACATAGAAATATATATGAAAATTTGGTTGCATGATTCAAAAATCTTCTTCTCACAAACCACTGTGTGAGGAAAAATGAAACTTAAGGGGAAATATCCTCAGGTAATGTAGATTCAAGTTTGTTCAAATCATGACCCCCGTGGTAGGGCGTGGCCAAAATGGCTGACCAAAGTTTTACATAAAAATATATAGGAATTTTTTAAAAAAAATCTTCTCAAGAATGGCACAGGCATAATTGATCATATTTATATGGAAGCATCTTCATACAGTGTAGATTAAATTTTGTTCAAATCATGACCCTCCTGGGGATGGGCGGGGTCACAATGCTGACCAAAGTTTAACATAGAAATATATATAGTAATTTTTTTTTTGAATCTTCGCCTCAAGAATAGCAAAGACATAATTGATCATATTTATATGGAAGCATCCTTGCATAGTGTAGATTCAAGTTTGTTCAAATCATGACCTCACACGGTAGGGCGTGGCCACAATGGCCAATCAAAGTTTTACATAGAAATATATAGGATTTTTTTTTTTTGAAAAATCTCCTCAAGAATAGCACAGGCATAATTGATCATATTTACATGGAATAATCTTCACATAGTGTCGATTCAAGTTTGTTCAAATCATGACCCTCCGGGGTTTGGCGGGGCCACAATGCTGACCAAAGTTTTACATAGAATTATACATGTATATAGGAATTTTTATGCTCCCCTTTGAAGAAGGGAGGGCATATTGCTTTGCTGCTGTCCGTCAGTCTGTCTGTCCACTTAGTTTCGGATCATTTTCTTCACAACCGTTTCACATACTAAAATGACATTTGGTATGCAGATATATCAGATGAATATCTAGGCCAAGTTTTGTTTTGGGTACGGTCGTACGGTCGCACCATTTTTGACAGAGTTATGCCCCTTGGACTTCGGAAAATTCCAATTTTTTGCAGTTTCCGTTCATTTTCTTTACAGAGGTTGCACATACTGAAATGAAATTTAGTATATAGATATATCAGATGACTTTCTTGGTAAAGTTCTGTTTTGGGTATGATTGCGTCATTTTTGACAGAGTTATGCTCCTTGGACTTAGAAAAATTCCAATTATTTGAAGTTTCCGTTCATTTTCATCTCAGAAGTTGCACATACTGAAATGAAATTTAGTATACAGATTTATCAGATGACTATCTAGGTCAAGTTCTGTTTTGGATACAATCATACCATTTTTGACAGGGTTATGCCCCTTTGGACTTTGAAAAATTCCAATTGGGGGGGGGGGGATAAGTATTTTACAAACATCTCTTGTATTTTAAAAATCTTCTTCTCAAGAATAGCAAAGGCATAATTGATCTTATTTATATGAAAGCAATCTCGCGTAGTGTAGATTCAATTTTGTTCGAATCATGACCCCCCATGGTAGGGCGTGGCCACAATGGCTGACCAGAGTTTTACATAGAAATACTAAGGAAAATTCTTTAAAAATCTTCTCAAGAATAACAAAGTCTGTAATTGATCATTTTTATTTGGAAGCTTCCTCAGGTAGTGTAAATTCAAGTTTGTTTAAATCATGACTCCCGGGGGTAGGACGGTTCCAAATGCCCGGCCATAGTTTTACATAGAAATATATAGGAAAATTCTTTTAAATATTCTTCTCAAGAATAGCAAGCCATAATTGGGCATAATATATGGAAGCATCCTCAGACTGTGTAGATTCAAATTTGTTTAAATCATGACCCCCGGGCCGATCAAAGATTTACATAGAAATATATAGGAATTTTTTTGAAAAATAAATCTTTTTCTTTAGAAATGCAATTCCTTAATTGGTCATATGGAAGCATCCTCTAGTTGTGTAGATTCATGTTTCTTCAAATCATAACCACAGGGGGTTGGGCTGGGCCAAAATGGCCTGTCAAAGTTTTACATAGAAATATAATAGGGAAATTCTTTAAAAATCATCTTCTTAAGAAAAGAAAAGCCATGATTGGTCAGGGGACTACTTTTGGAATTAAACTTTTCAATAATAAACCAATTTCTACTTTTTTCCTAGCCACAGTACTCAGGTGATTGATGTGACCCATGGGCCTTTTGTTCAAATTATGACCCCCCACGGGTAGGTTGGGGTCTCAGTGGGGGATCAAAGTTTAACAAAGGAAGATATTAGGGGAAAACAATTTGCTCAAGAACAGAAAATCCATTATTATTAATTAGTCATATTGATAGGGAGGATAAAACTTCAAGGGAAAAAATTGCAAAATGTTTAAAGCCATTTGTCAAAATAATCAGGAAACATCTTCAGTAAATATAGATCCCAGTTTCTTCCAGTCATCCTGTACCCTTTGGGTAATATGTTGCAAAGGAAAACATGGTTTACTGTCACATTGACAAGTTTCCCATTGTTTGAACCAATTTTTTTTACTGATCAAGACTATTTGTTTGGGAATGAACAAAGTTATTAAGGAAATTTTATGAATGTGCTGATTTATTATACGCCCGCTCCAAAGGAGAGGGGGGTATACTGTTTTACCCTTGTGTGTTTGTCCGTATGTCTGTGTGTCCGTCCGTAACAAATTTTCGTCGCAGTTTTCTCAGCAACTACTCATCGTAGATGCTTGAAATTTTAACACAATCTTCTCTGAGGCATGCCATATGGTGGGATACATTTTTGCTAAAATCTGATGACAACTTCCTGTTTATCTGTGCGTCTGTCCGTTTCATACATAACAAAGTTTCGTCGCAGTTTTCTCAGCAACTACTCATTGTAGATGCTTGAAATTTTAATACAAACTTCTCTTAGGCATGCCATATGGTGGGATACATTTTTGATCAAATCCGATGTCAACTTCCTGTTTGTCTGTGTGACTGTCCATTTCATACATAACATATTTTCGTCACAGTTTTCTCAGCAACTACTCATCGTAGATGCTTGAAATTTTAATACAAACTTCTCTGAGGCATGCCATATGGTGGGATTCATTTTTGTTTAAATCCGATGTCAACTTTCTGTTTGTTTGTGTGACTGTCCGTTTCATACATAACAAATTTTCGTCGCAGTTTTCTCAGCAACTACTCATCAAAGATGCTTGATATTTTAACACAATCTTCTCTGAGGCATGCCATACATTGGGATACATTTTTCTTCACATCCGATGTCAACTTCCTCTTTGTCTGTGCATCTGTCTGTTTCATACATAACAAATCTTCGTCATAGTTTTCTCATTAGCTATTCATAGCAGATGCTTGAAATTTTATTACACTCTTTGTTGAGGCATGCCATATGGTGGGATTAATTTTTATATGAATCTGATGTCAACTTCATATTTTTTGTGCATCTGCCTATAATTGAACTTGTGTATATTAACATGATATTGCTTATTTACATCAGAGTGGGGGTATTACTAGTGAGCATTGGCTCACAGATTTCTTGTTTGCAATATAAACAGTATACATCATTCATCTGAATTTGTAATCAGAGCAAACGATAATTTATGTATGCTCAGATATGAATGGAGTAAACAGAATAAGCAGAATTCTGTAAAAGGAAAATGGAACTTCAGTCAAATTGTATGATATAATTAAAGATTCTATTTTCAGATGACAAAGAGAAAGAAATCTCTTACTGGTAGAGAAAAACGTGACAGAGATAGAGTTAGAAAGAGGCAGGAGAGAGAGAAACCTGCAACTCAAGATGCGTCACCAGATGAGAAAGTGACAGAGTCTTCTGTTCCTTGCGGGACAGAGGATGGAGCTATGTCAGCTCCTCCCGGTAATTTTCCGGGGATTGGTTCGATGGGGTTTCCACCTAAAGAGGAAAAACCCCTGGCCAGGGTGCAGGCCTCACCTCGAGTGAAAATGCATTCACCTGCCCCGAGGTTGTCACCTCCTCGGGGAAGTCGTCTGTTTGTCCATGACGAGGGCAAGGCACCGTCCACTGACTCCCCACCGTGGGTTTGTGCTCCACCGAGGGCACCTGGATCGGACATAGTGCATATGTCTGATCCAGCAGGACAGGCGCAGCTGGATACCTCCAGGATGGAGGAGACCAGTAGAATATCAAAAGATGAGGGCACTTTAACGAATTCTAAACTGGAAACTGAACGAATATCAAACGGAAACTTGTACGAAAAACCTGATATATTAGAAAGTATAAACAGAGAGAGAAATATGTTGGAGACTGTAGAAAGTATGTTGGATTTCAGAGATGATACAGAGATTATAGAAAATGAGTTGAAAAATGAAGGAAAGAAAGATATGAAATTAACAAATGAAAGAATTTTTCACAGGAAAAAGGGTCAAAACATAGGAGATTTGAACATACAAGGTGATCAGAAAGAAAGTACTAGTATGCAGGATTGTCCTGGTGAGGAGAATACAAATTTAGAAGCAAGAAATTCATACAGTGTATCTGTCCAGGGCTCTTTCCATCAAGCTGATCCTATGTTTGGTGACAATGCAGGGACTCAATGTGTGGCAAATTGTCTATCAGCTATAGCTTATCATGTTCTGAAAAGTGCAAAAATCTGGCAAACAGCTGATGTCAACAAAGTTTTAGTGAATGGGGATGAACTATACACATACCTACAGAACAGTTCTTCTGTTACAAGTAGATATTTGTTAGTTGAAGAGTTGCCGCAGTATTTTGAATGCTTCAGTAAAACATTTGAATTCACAGTGAAGGTATCAGTACCAAGTTTAATCAGCTTATCAGAGGAGGAACCATGTTATGAAGATTTTAATGCTTATCCCCTTTTTGAAGCTCTGCAAATGGCACTTCATGAAACAGTCGGATGTTTTGTATGTTTTGGGGGAAATACTTTGGTAGTTGGAAAGACAACTGATGGATTTTTCATATTTGATTCCCATTCAAGATGTTCTCGTGGATATCTTAGTGTGCACGGAAAGAGTACAAGAATTCTATTACAAGATGTTCATGGTGTTTATTTGCATTTAAAGTCATTAGCAATTTCAATGGGTTTTTCAAGAACTGTGGAATGTGAACTAACTGGGGTAATATGTTCCCTAAAGAATTTTGCTATGGCTGAAGTGTTTGACCAGGAAGAAGCTGAGAGAGACTTTGGAGCAGAGAAGGGTTCAAATCAGGATGTATTATCAACAGCACAGCCAGAGATGTTACAGACAGATGAAGTGGTTTTTGAGGGCGAGGAAAGCAAACTTCATGATTTTATTCCTTTATCTGTACAGAATCAGAAGGATTTGTGCAGGAAATTAGGGTTTTCCTATTTCGATTCAGGAAGTAACCACAATTTAGTATCTGTGAGAGATATGGGTGTGCCTAGGAGCTGTAAAGATATTGAAAGAGATGGAAATTGCTTTTTCAGGGCTATATCATTTTCTTTGACAAACTCTGAAAACCATCACAAACAAATCCGTGAAATTGTTTGTCAACACTTGCTTAAAAATGAAACAACATTTCAACAGTTCATGAGATCAGAAGGATCTATAAGGTCATACTTGCTTTCAAGTAAAATGACACATGAAGGTGTATGGGCAACAGAATTGGAGATTCTTGCAGTGGCGCATATGCTAAATGTTGACATATTTACTTACTCAGATATGAGGTGGCTTCAGTTCAGTGGGCATGGGCTGTGTGCTGAATCAGTTAATCTGAAAGAAGCAATATACTTATACCACAGAGAACAGAATCATTATGATGTTGTTTTGCAAGTGACATCAAGGTTGGCAGAAATTGACTATTTTCCCATGAAAAATCCTAGTCGAAGAGAATACAGCGTTCGCAAAGAAAACCGAATGCGTATGCGTAGGTGCAATGCTTCAAAACTTAAAGTAGCAGTGGACTCGAATGAAAATCGCAAGACTGCACTAAAGAAAAAATACATGGAAAATGAGGGGTTCAGGGAAAAGATGTTGAAGCATAAAAGGACCATGTATACAAACAATGACTTTAAGTTGAAAGCACAAATGAGCAACAGACATCGTTATCGTAAGAATATTGCTTACCAGTTAAAATATGCCTTGAATGCTGAACACAGAAAAAAGGTGCTAAAAAGAAGTAAAGAAAAGTATGAAACAGATCTGAATCATAAAGAGAAAAAGAAGAGACAAAGTGTTGGAAAATATCACTTGGATGATAAGCACAGAGAATGCGCCAAGAGAAGAAGTAAAGAGAAATACTGGACAGACTTGGAGCATCAGAAAAATGTGAAGAAAGCAAGTACTGAAAAGTACAAGACTGACTTTGTGCATAAGGCTAAATTGCAACGAACAATGTTGGATAAATACAAAACAGATGAGTTTTACCAAAAAAAGAACAAAGCTGCTAATGTCTCTAGGTATCGGAGGAATGAAGCTTTTAGAGCTGAAAAGAAAGAACAAGCTAGAAGAAGATATCAATTAAATGCTGAAGTTCAATTAAATACGAAGAATCGTAGCAAGGCTAGTTACAAGTCATCCTTCAATGTTCAAGAGAGAAAAAAGAAAAAAGTACAACAGAATAGGGTTATAAATAAAAACAACATGAAACAGGCAGAGGAAGTTGTGAGATCATTTAAAGAAAATGCATCAAAGGGTCCAGATTATGCTTGTACTTGTTGTCACAGACTGTTGTTCAAAAACCAAGTACAAGTTTGTGAACATCAAATGTACGAAAAAAATGAAGCAGCAAGAACTATCTCACATATTTGTTTGCTAGACAAGTATTTGCATGAGTGTTCTCAATCATGTCCAGAAACATGCACTAAATCATCATCATGGATTTGTTACACTTGCCATAGGAAAATATTAAGTGGCAAACCACCACCAGAGGCTGCTACAAATAATATGACTTTAGAGGACATTCCACCTGAATTGGCCATCTTAAATAGTTTGGAACAGCACCTCATTGCACTCCATATTCCTTTTATGAAAATCATGGCCCTCCCACATGGTGGACAAAGGAATGTACATGGCCCTGTTGTTTGTGTACCTTCAGACATGACAAAAACTACAGGTTTACCAAAACAAGAGGATGACAACTTGTTGTTGCGGGTGAAATTGAAGAGAAAGTTGGCATACAAAGGTTATTTTGAATATCAGTTTGTTAATACAAACCATGTAATGTCAGCCTTGTCATTCTTAAAAGAGAACAATCAGTGGTATAAAAATGTCAAAATTGAATCCATTCAGAAAGAGGACATGGAAAATCCAGGGCAAATGAAAGATGGTGAAGAAGAAAATGAAGAAAGTAATGAAAACGAAGATCAAATGATTGCATTTGACACTTGTTTACAACCCGTGGATGTTGCACAAGAAGTTTTGGACCATTATTTTGATGATGTGTACAACATTGCACCAGGTGAAGGGAAGAATCCCGTGCGAATGCTACAAGAGCCTGGGAACGAGGCGAAAGCATTTCCCTATCATTTCCCAAGCGGAAGATTTTCTTGGAGTGAAGAAAGATCGCAAAAATTAACACTATCTAGATATTTTAACAATAGGTTAATGAATGCAGATAATAGGTTTGCAAAAGACACAAATTACATTTTCTTTAGCCAGTATATGTCTGAACTCAACCAAGTCATTGAAAAAACTCAGATTTCACTCAGAAAATCTTTGTCAAAATGTACTAGTGGGAAACCAGTGACAGCAAATATGCTTCAAGATCCCACTACGCTCTCTAGTTTGTTGAGGAACGATGAGGCAATAAGGTTCATGCAACCGATCAGAGGAACACCTGCATATTGGGCAACTGCTCAGAAAGATCTATTTGCAATGTTGCGGCAATTAGGAATCCCTACCTGGTTTTGTTCGTTTAGTGCAGCCGAATATAGATGGAATGATGCAGTAAGGGCTATATTAAGGCAGCAGAGTGATGACAGGGATCCAAATGAAATGGATTGGTCAGAAAAGAATGAAGTTTTAAGATGCAATCCTGTCACAGTTGCTCGAATGTTCGAACATAGATTTCAGATATTTCATAAAGAGGTCATTCTTTCACCTTGTGAACCAATCGGAAAAGTGGTAGACTTTTTCCAAAGAGTCGAGTTCCAGCAAAGAGGATCCCCACATATGCATTGTTTATACTGGGTTGCAAATGCACCTAACATTGACACTGATGGAGAGGAGGTTGTTTGTAACTTTGTTGACAGATATGTAACATGTGGGATACCCTCGGAAATTGATGACGCAGAGCTGAGAAAAAGTGTCCTGGATGTTCAACAGCATAGCAAGAATCATTCAAAATCTTGCAAGAAGAAAGGCACGAACTGTAGGTTCAATTTCCCAAGGCCTCCATCCCAAAGGACATTCATAACAATTTCCTCAGAGGAAGAGAACATAGATAAGTCTGAATCAGAGGCTAGAGAAAAGAAAGTAAATAAAGCATATGCAGAGGAAATTTTACTTAGTGTATGGGATAAAATACAAAATGACGGTGAAGGAAAGACATCAAAAGAAATATTTGATGACCTTGCACTAACTCAGGAACTATACGAAGAAGCTTATAACATGTTATCAACAAGGAGGTCAATTGTTCTCCAACGTAACCCAAATGAGGTCTGGACGAATCAATATAGCCAGTGTCTTTTGAAATGTTGGGATGCTAACATGGATATCCAGTTTGTCTTGGATCCATTCAGTTGCATTGTATATATCGTTTCCTACATATCAAAATCAGAAAGGGAGATGGGTATGTTACTAAAACAAACAAAGTTAGAGGCAGAGGAGGGAAATCTCAATGCTCGACAGACAATGAAGAAAATTGGATCTGCATACTTGCATCACAGAGAGGTGAGTGCCCAGGAAGCTGTATACAGGGTGTGTAATCTAAGAATGAAAGAATGTTCGAGAAAAGTTGTTTTTATTCCTGTTGGTGACAACCCATTACGCCTAAGCAAACCACTCTCTTTGATAAAAAAGAAATCAAATGATGAAGAAATAATTGATGATGATGAGGCTGATGATGAAAATGATATCTGGATGACAAACATAATTGAGCGTTACGAGAACCGTCCTGATAAACCAATGTTCCATGACATGTGTCTCGCAAACTTCTGCTCTGAATTCAGAGTACTCGCTAGATCTCAAGTTCCAAAGAAAGAAAATGAGAATGTATTTGAATTGCAGAATGGGAAGGGATATGTGCAACGAAGAACAAGGACACAACATGCTGTTGTAAGGTATCCAAGATTCAATGTTGAAAAGATGTCGGAAAAATATCATCGATCTGTATTGCAACTCTTTCTTCCCTACCGGACAGAGAAACAATTGAAGCCTCCAGGATTTGAATTATATGAGGACTTTTATGAAACTGGTCATGTGAAAATTAAAGGGGCGAGACAACTGCAACCAGTGAAGGCAATTGTAGATTTGAATCGGTCCCATTATGCACAAAATGAACAGGCTTTGGACATTGCCCAAGAAGCATATGAAATGGATGGTGAACCAGAGGATGCGTGGTCACGCATATGTCCAGAAACAGAAGTACTAAGGAGAGAAGGTATAGCACAGAGGAAAGAAAACTCAGTGCAACAAGAGAATGATAGGGAAGCTATACCAGACATTGAAAGTGAGATGAATAATGCAGATGTGCTGTATCATGTTCACCAAAATGTTATTTCAAGAGATGAAATGTTGCCAGTTCTCCAAACTTTAAATGAACAACAGAGTGAAGTATTTTATTTGCTTCGAGAGTGGTGTTTAGCAAAGATAAATGGTGAAAAATGTGAACCCTTGCACTTATTTGTGACTGGTGGTGCAGGCACTGGTAAAAGTCATCTCATAAAAGCAATTCATTATGAAGCATCACGTTTGCTTTCTAGAATGAATTCTGAACCAGAAAAGGTAACTGTACTCCTTTCGGCATTCACGGGAACAGCAGCCTTCAACATTGGTGGAAATACGCTTCATCATTTATTTTCACTTACAAAATATATGCCATTGCCATATGAGCCCTTGAGAGAACAAAGTCTTAGTGAAATGAGAGTAAAGATAGGTGACATACAGATTCTTATCATTGACGAAGTATCAATGGTATACAAAAAACTTTTGTATTATGTACATGAACGGCTAGTGCAAATTAAAAAATGCAAAGATCCATTCGGAGGTGTTTGTGTAATCGCTGTTGGGGATTTCTATCAGCTCCCTCCTGTTAAGCAACGGAAAAATGAGAGACTCTATAAAGAGAATTTGACTTATCCTGTGGATTACTGGTTCGACTTTTTTAAAGTCATCGAATTAAACGAGATAATGAGGCAAAAGGAAGATAAGTCATTTGCTGAGTTGCTAAATTCTCTTCGTGTAAGACAGACAAATGAGCCATTAACAGAGGAACAAAATCTGATGTTAGAACGCTGTATCAGAGAAGGACCAGAGGATGTTCTTCATGTGTTTTGCACGAACGAAGAAGTAAACACATTCAATTTGACAATGTTAAGAAACACATGTGAAGATTTATTAGAAATCGATGCTGAAGATTATAAGAAAGACAAAACATCTGGAAAACTGATTCAGAGGAGCAAACCCTTCATAAAATCAAACAGTGATGGCCTTCCTAACTCCTTACTATTGTCCATCGATGCAAGAGTAATGCTCACAAGAAATTGTAACGTGGAAGACGGACTTGTGAATGGAGTAATGGGTTATGTTTCTCAATTCCTATACAAAGAAAACAGTGCAACGTGTCTTAAAGCTGTAGGGGTGCTTTTTGATAATAAGGAAGTTGGAAGAAAGTTAGGACAGAAAACAAAAGATGGAAACATGGTGTTAATAGAAAGAATCCAGGAAGAAATGAAGGAGAAAACAGTTTCTGTTGTTAGACATCAATTTCCTCTTCGGCTATCATGGGCATGTACTGCTCATAAGGTGCAAGGAATGACTACAGACAGAATTGTTGTGAATTTAGACAGAACTTTTGCTCCTGGACAAGCTTATGTTGCATTGTCAAGAGTTACATCAGAAGGTGGCTTATTTATTGAAACAGAAGATGCAGCAAAATTAAAGAAAAAAATTTATGCTGATCCAGAAGTAAAGGCAGCCATAACTGAAATGCCGAAATTCATTTTTGACGACCTTTTACAAGCCTTGAAATCCAGCGGGATTAAAGTAGTTCTACAGAACATTCAGAGCTTAGGCAGACATTTCGGAGATTTGAAAAATGATGAGAGGTTCAAAAATGTTGATATCATCTGCCTGACAGAAACATGGTTAAGGGCTGGGGTGAACACAGAAAATTTTCTGCTAGATGGATTTCAGTTTTATCACCTTCCTAGACAAGAGGCATACGATGACAATACTGTCTTAACACAGCAATTGCGTCATTCAAAAGGTGGTGGAGTTGGATTGTATTTTAGAGATAACAGTGATACGTTTGACATTCTTCCACTACCAAAGATGAATATTGAAGCTTTGGCTTTAAAATTACCACAGGAAGAAATTGTGATTGTGATTGTATATCGTCCATGCAAGGCCGACATGACAACTTTCCTTCACAGTCTGAAGAGAGTACTTGACTTCACAATGTCAGTTTATCTGTGTTCTATTGGGGGACTTTAATGAGGACGCAAAATCTGATGGTCCAATTCAAAGATTTATGAAGCATCAAGACTTCAGCCAACTTGTAACTTTTAGTACTACCGAAGGGGGAACCATTTTGGATCATGTGTACATATCCAATTCAGTACGGATTGAGATCAAACGATTACCAACATACTACAGTTATCACGATGCTGTATTTCTTAAATTCAAAGAAAAATAATTGTCATGGTTTAAATTCAAACAGGTGTGGAAAAGTTCATTATTGTAAGTGCATAAAAATATCATTCACCTTAAGATCGAATAGGGAATAAAGATTTAAGTGTTGTACTCTAGACATTTTTGCGAAAGACGCATTCGCAGATCTTGCATATATTTTTTCCTTGAAATTGCAGGGATATGTATTTATTAAGCTCTTTGTATAGTTTATTAATGAATATTGACATGTTTATAGTTAGCTTACATAGGAATCACGTAGTCATGATAATAGGAAATTTGTATTAATATTAAATTTGGCCAGCATTAACCATGTTAACTTTACATTTTAGGTTAACGAACATCAATGAAAAAAAAGTCATGTAGGAGGAGGAAATAAAGATAAAATGATTTCTTTAGATAAATTATTAGTTTTTGTACAGTCCTTTTTGCTTTTTTAATGCTCTCCTAACAGGTTCTTTGCCACTGGACACTTACTGACTACAAATAGGAAGGTGGAACCTTTAATTGTTTATTTCATCATCTACCAGTTGGGGCCTGTGATGTAAATATTGTGATGTTGGTCAAAGTACAGGTTTTTAAAAAATCAATTGTTTTAACTCTTTTAGTACATGTTCATTGTTTTAAAATGTGTCGGGTGAATGTGTGAAAATTAATGTTCAAAAAAAAAAAAATACTCAAGTCCTAAAATAATAATTCCTATCATAAAACAGAAAGGGGATATTCAGGAATGGGTTTAAAAAATTTTCCAATTATTATTAAGTGTAAAATAATTTTTCTGACTGCCACATTCAAAACGATTCAACATGCCTGAATTATTAAATCAGAGATAGAAATAAATGGTTTCAAGAATATTTTGAAAACTGAGCGGAACAAGATGCTGAGCTATTTACTCATGACATAACAAAGGAAATGACTCATTTAACTGTAATCTTAAAAGGAGAATGATTTTAATGTTTTGAGTTTCCTACTGATTTGCTGATGGGGTGAAATTGTGTTTTGTATTATTTATAAGAGTTACTATACGTATGTATCTTTCTTTGTGTAGAACAGTACAGGAAAATAGTATTTTATCATGAAAAGATTACTGACTTCACTTTCAATGTAGATTGTATAAATTACTGAAAGTTATGAGTAGCTGAGACACTCAAGTGAATATATAAATGAAGTACTAAATGAAAGGTTGTTAGAAAATTATTTTTGATGTAAAGGTTGTGCACAATATTGTAAATTCAATTAAGAAGATATAACTTGGAAAATAATTTTTTTTTCTCGCAGACAGGTTTTGTAGCAGTTAAAAATGTTCTTATTAATTTCATTGTGTTTATATGTATATAAAATCTAGAAATAGAGGGAGTAGTTCTATAGGAAATTTTATATCCTGCTCAAAATCCTACTTCCACCTCCCCGTGGTGAGCAGGGGGCAACGGACCATGTCCGGCCAACGGAAGAGGTACTAAATTCTTGAATAAACTAAAGAGCCAAGCCAGTATTTATCTTCAGGATGCAACCAATGCAAAACAATAATAAAATGTTGGTGTAAAACATTTCCCGCTTTTGAGATCTAAAGCGTACGATTCATGATGAAATATGATAAATTTAAAGTTTAATTGAGATTTTCAATCAAAAATAATGATAAAGATAGTTTAGAAGAACGATTTTGCTTCCAAAATGTATTGAACGTTAAAGACTTATAAATTAGACTTTCGAACGGTTATGGTCCCTAATATGAGGGGTCAGCCTTATTTTATCATTTTATTTTGAAACTCTTTTACTCTTGAACACTTTTTGTTTATCGTTTCGGAGATATTTGCAAAAGAAATATTTAGGGGCCAAGCCTTCAACTGCTTAATTGGGACGTTTAGCAAAATATTAAAGGTTGTATATTGTTTGGAACATTATTTTGAACATCTTTTATTCAATATTACTTATCTAAATATTTCCCTCTTTCGAGATATAAAACGTCAAAGATTTAGCGTTTTGGCCACTTGTAGCCCCTATTTATGTAAACAAAATATTGACCGTTGAGAAGTTATCAAATGAAGACTTTTGACTCCTCTCTGGCCTTAATGTGATGAGTCAAATTAAAAATCTTGTCATTCTCCATATATATTGTTCAATATGTTTTAACAAAATATTCATACTTTAAAAGATGTGATACTAAATGTCTCGAAAATTCACTCATAATTCGTGTCCTAAATTTCGTTCCCTATCAAGCTTCCATTCTAGGTACTTTCGGAAATGTTAAATCAAATATGCAACACAACAATGTGTTGCCTATCATCGCTGAAAATTTCAGTTCCCTAGCTAATGCCGCTTTTGAGTTTTTGAGCGGACAAGGAGGCCTTCTAATATTCACTAAAAGGGGGATAATTTCAGACCGGAAGTGATTTTTTTTCAAAATTAATTCGGCGGTACAAACTTCAGATAGACATACATAAATTCTGAAATTTTAAACAAAATCGATCCAGCCATCTCCGAGAAATCTTCTGCACGATAATTGTTAAGAAAAAAAGAATAACAAAAGTGAAGAAGAAACAAAAGAATAATAGAAGTGTCTTCCGTTGGAGACGTAAGATTTTTATTTGGAAATGATGATTTTATTTTTTTTAAGAAAAACGATTTTGCTTTCGTAATGTGTAAAATGATATTGAACATTAAATGCTCATAAATTCTACTTTTGGCCCCTCTTGACCCCTTTTATGAAGAGTCTGCCCCTTTTTTCTGCAAGTCAACGTAAATCACTCATGAATTTTAAACACTTTTTGTTCAACAACTATTCAGAGATTGTTTTTTGTTTTCGAGTTATTTCCAAAACAAACATTTAGGAAACAGCCCTTCAACTCCTTCATGGATATGTTCCACAAGAAATGAAAGGTTGAAAAGAACATTATTTTGAACATCTTTTGATCAATACTACTTAACAAAATATTTCTCACTTTCGAGATATAAAGCGTCAAAAATTAAGCATTCTGGCCCCTTGTGACCCCTAATTATGTAATATAAGACATAAAAATCATAATATATAGTTGTAGATTGTTAAGATAAACATCTTTGCTTCAGTAATGTATTACACAATATTAACTGACAATGAGTTATCGATTCAAGACTTTTAGCCCCTAATTTGAGTGCCCAGCCTTTTTCTCTTGACTTTACCTTAAAGCTCTTAAGAATTTGAACAATTTTTGGTCAATAACTATTCAGAGATTTATTTTCGTTTTCGAGTTATTTCCAACAGAAATATTTAGGGGCCAACCCTTCATCTCCTTAATGGGGACGTTTAGCGAAAAATGAAAGGTTGCATATTGTTTAGAACATTATTTTGAACATCTTTTGTTAAATAACAATTATCAAAATATTTCTCACCTTCGAGATATAACGCGTAAAAAAATAAGCATTCTGGCTCCTTGTGGTCCCTAATTATGTAATATGAGACATAAAAATCATAATATATAGTTGTAGATGGTTGAGATAAACATCTTTGCTTCAGTAATGTATTAAAAAATACTAATTGATAAAGAGTTATCGATTGAAAACTTTTGGCCCTTTTTGGCCCCTAATATGAGTGTCCGGACCCTTTTTCTTGATTTTATCGTTAAGCTCTTAGGAATTTGAACACTTTTTGTTAAACAACTATTCAGAGATTCATTTTTGTTTTCGAGTTATTTGCAAAAGAAATATTTAGGGGCCAACCCTTCAACTCCTTAATGGGGAAATTTAGCGAAAAATGAATGGTTGCATATTGTTTAGAACATTATTTTGAACATCTTTTGTTCAATATTACTTATCAAAATATTTCTCACTTTCGAGATATAAAGCGTCAAAAATTAAGCATTCTGGCCCCTTGTGGCCCCTCATTATGTAATATAAGACATAAAAATCATAATATATAGTTGTAGATGGTTGAGATAAACATCTTTGCTTCAGTAATGTATTACACAATAATAACAGATAAAGAGTAATCAATTGAAGACTTTTGGCCCTTTTGGCCCCTAATTTGAATGCATAGCCCTTTTTTCTTTATTTTACCTTAAAGTTCTTAAGAATTTGAACACCTTTTGTTCAACAACTATTCAGAGATTCATTATCGTTTTTGAGTTATTTGCAAAAGAAATATTTAGGGGCCAACTCCTTAATGGGGATGTTTAGCGAAAAATGAAAGGTTGTATATTGTTTAGAATATTATTTCGAACAACTTTTGTTCAATAATACTTATCAAAATATTTCTCACTTTCGAGATATAAAGCGTCTAGGATTTAGCATTCTGGCCCCTTGTGGCCCCTAATGATGTAACATTCAACCAAAAAATTATAATATATAGATATAGATGGTTGAGATAAACATTTTTGCTTCAGTAATGTATAACAAAAAACTCATTGCTAAACAGTTATTGAATGAATACTTTTGGCCCCTTTTTATCCTTAATGTGATGAGTCAGCACTTTTTTCTTGGTGTCATATTAAAGATCTTAGCATTCCACACAAATGTTGTTCAGTATGTCTTAACAAAATAATTATACTTTAAAAGATATGATACAAAATGTCTCGAAAATTCACTCATGATTCGTGTCCTAGATTTCGACCCCCTACCGAGCTTCCATATTGGACCTTTCTGAAAATTTTTAAAGCCAATGTGCAATTCAGCAATGTGTCGTCTATCATCGCTCAAAATTTCAGCTCTCTAGCTAATGTCGTTTTTGAGTTTACTCACGGACAAGGAGACCCTCTAAAAATCACTGAAAGGGCGATAACGTCCGACCGGAAGTGATTTTTTCAAAATTGAGCCGGGGGTACAAACTTCAGATA